TGATAAAATGTGTGGTCTCCAGCAGCTGAATGGAAGTGTAGAGTAATTGTGGCTCATGAAAGAACAATTATTGTCAGAACTAAGCTAACTCGGAGTACTTTGATAATGAAATATGTCTTTGCCTAGGTTAATTCCTCTGTAATTGAACATAAATGAGGTGTTTTAAAGCTTCATTTTTGGTGTTAGAGAGCACAGTGAGGACTTCATGAATTCATGAAGACCTCTGGTTTTATATATGTGACATAAAACCAGAAAAATACATTCTAGTAGAAAAATTCAACTATGAACATTGCTTTCAGAATGAAGTATTATTACAGCTCAATAAATGAGAATTTTCCAAATGGAGCACCACCAAAATACAACAGTCTCTTTCTGGCTCCCTACCATTACAAACTCAACAATCTTATAATATATGCAAGAATATTTATTTTCTAGTATATAAAAAAGAATATAGGAAACACCTTGAAAAACATAAAAACAAACTTATAAAAATTCAGAATTTTGCACAAGTGTTGAACTGCGTAAACAGCAGACAACATCCTGAAACGCCTCAAAACCACATTACCCACAATACCACCATCCTAAAGGGGAAGACTGGTTTGTTTTGGTTGGCAAGCCAGTTCCTACATGGGGTTCCTGTCACTGCATTTGAGGAAATGCAGTTATAGCAGTTCACTCCACAAATGTATGCAATTTAGTTTCAGTTTATTCTGTGGACTGCTAATTTTCTGAAATATTAAATATTGTTTAAGGCCACGATTGGTAAATTTTTAGTTTTATTACTTTCAAAATCATTTTCACCATCACTGTATACTTACTTGTAAGTGACTGTGTATTTATGTTTATCAAAAGAAAATTGTTTTAAAAATGATATTATAATTTTAAAAATATTTGTCTTTTGGTCTTGTACGTTTTCCGTAGTTACCTACTGCATGTCAAACTGGTGTGTAGGGCCTTTGACATACAGGATGCCATCATTCTAACATAATCTTAACCTTAATTTACTTTAAAGAGAACAATAATTATTTCAACAGAACCTTATGGAAGGGTTGCAATCTAAACATTCCAAAAAAATATAGGCAGATATTCTAAAAGAAAATTAAAATGTTCAATTTTATTTTAGGTTCCACTTTATCTGCCTGTCATTTTTGTGCCTTTATATTTAACAGAGTTTATGTGTCCCTCTCAGGCTTCCGTAACCTGCACCTTGATGATCAGATGACGTTGCTGCAGTGCTCCTGGCTTTTCCTCATGTCCTTCAGCCTCGGCTGGAGGTCCTATGAGCAGTGTAGTGGCAGAATGCTCTGTTTTGCTCCAGATCTCGTCATAAATGAGTGCGTACCAGTTATCTGAATATGTATTTTATCAGCAACACATTGTCAGATAGATTTATTAATATAATTATATGTTGCAGGATTGAAAAATCTCATGTTCAGACACAAGAAAATTAATAATGTTTCATCATCTAGATGTGTAAAGCTGGTAGAGACATTTCTCATAATACTTGCAGCTGTTATTGCAGCAAAGTGTGGTTAAATCCATGCCCCCATGTAATTTTATATAAAAAAATAGATTTTATAAAAGAAAAATCAAAATCCATGTGTCATTCTTATTCTCCTGAACAATGATGTTTTGAAATGTTACTTGATGAGCATCTGAACACTCATAGCTGCTTTTCTTCTGCTCAGAAAGAACATAACTTTCTATTAAGATTTAAAATGTACTGAGCAGTAAAAGAACAAGCTTTAGTTGAATGAGTCATAGCCAGTGCCATTTCAATTGTTGACGATAAATTATTGTGTGGTATTTAGGAGTGAAAGTATGGTTTAAAAATTCACCCTCTTGTGTTTTATTTTTTTATTTTATTTTTTGCAGTATTGTAGCGCTTTCTATTATAAGCCAATAATTACATGATCAATTAAAAAATTGACGTTGAGTCGAACTAAAATTTGTTTTCCATTTGTTTGTTCTGCACCCTGTCCTGCTCCAGAGAGCGCATGAAGCTGCCTTTAATGGGTGACCAGTGTGAGCAGATGCTGAAGATTTGCAATGAGTTTGTCCGACTGCAGGTGTCCTATGATGAGTACCTCTGCATGAAGGTCCTGTTACTGCTGAGTACAGGTAATAAAACGCTTCTATTGGCACGCTATAAAAAAATTTCAACAAAATGTTTTTGATTTGACTGCTTAATGATGTTCTATTATGAAAAATTCAATTTAAATATAAAAATTAAGGGAAATATTGTATCAATAAAGATTCAAACTAACTATAGTGATGTGTTATAACTCATTATCTACAGGGGTTTTACAGAGTGTTTCTCAGCAAATTTGATTACCAAATGGCAATAATAAAGAAAATATAGATATGGGAAGCTGAGTCTTTACAGATTGCTTTGTCTAAGCTTATTACTGGAAAGTTTAGTAGAAGGAAAAAGTGCAGAAGCAACAGGGAATAACCTTGAGAATATTAGGATGAATCCCGTTGGTGAGCCTGGGGGAGGATTATGCAATAATCTCAATTGTTTTCTTGTGTATTTCTGAGAAACTGAATTTGGTATTCTGTCAGTAATATGACAAAAAAAAAGTCAATTAGTTATAATTGGTGTCAGTAAATCTTAAATCTGGCAGTTTTCTTATTTTCATTCAAAAATTTAAAACTGCATCAGAAATTGATCATTTGCCTGGTTTAATCATGATTTTTTATCTCCTTGTTGAAAGTACTGAAGGGAGTTTGACAGATTCTTGTACTTATTTCCCTTTGACTGTTCAATTCAAGGTTTCTTGTATTTTTATTTTTTTCAAAATGAGCAGAAAATGCAGCTTTGTTTTATTTTATGCATAAAGGTCATAAAATTATTTCATAAGAATCTTTATAATAACACTTCATTTTTTTTCTTACTTGATCTTTGAAAATACTAAATGTTGAAATCAGCCTTTTTTGGGGGCAACCTTTTGTCATTAGTTTTTCAAAAGCAATTTCCTGAAAGAAACCTACTTTCCTTGTTTTGACTTGAAGGATACAGGTAGTCAAGATGAAGGTAATTTTGTTTCTTTCCTGAGGAGATGAATTACATGCTGCATTCTGACTTACGTAATTGTCAGAAATTGCCAAAATAATGAGAGGAGACTCATTACAAGAAAGTCTCATTTCCCAGATTTGAATGTTTCATTTTTGGTGGCTGACCAGCGATTTATTCATGTAGTCTTAATCATGTCTGAATGGATTTGAGTTGTTTTTTTAAGCTGCTATAAATTAGAAAAGTGCCTTAACTACACTAGAGGAAAATGTAAATGTTTTTCAGCCTTTTTATTGTAGAGAAAATGTTAAAAGAATGGGACACGCAGTCTCTTCTGGTTATTCTTACACCATTAAACACCAAGACAGTTCTCTTTCCCCTTCATTTGCAAACTGTGAATTGCAGAGGAATAGACAGTTCTTTCTAGCTGTTTCTTTGACATTCAGGGAAAAGTGTGCTCTTCAGAGAGATTACATTTCCATAGTGAGCACAGGTTGCATTTTTGCACCTAAGAGCTATTTCCATCTGTTCCCCACAGTGAAGGAGAAACTATCAGGTCAGGACAGCTTTGGTAAGAGCTGATTAAATAAGTCGAGAGGACATTTATCAAAGCTGAAGCAACCCATAAAGCATTTTTTTTGTTTAATCAGCTCCAGTCAGAGAAGCATTTTAGCCGAACAGAACTATTGAACTCTTACACGTTCTGTAGTACAAGTGGAGTTTTGAATATGTTAGAATTTGAATTCGTAAACCACCCCAAAGTAATCCATATTCATAAAGTGGAAGGCAAATGGTAAATATGTTTTCTGAGATGTAAAATTCTAAAAAGTGTGGTGTGCATTTGTATTCAGCCTTCCTGAGTCATGAACTGGTGCTCACTTTACCAGTCTTCCATGGGCAGATTCGAGGAGTTTGTGCCTAATAGTTGCCGTAGCAACAGATCATCCTACCTGAGTTGTGGATCTCTGTAGCTCCTCCAGAGCTACGATGGACCTCCAGCTGCTTTTCGTATTTATACTCTCCATGCCCTACCGGATGTGAATGGCTATGTAATGTGTTTGTGTCTTGCAAAGTTGCTTTATAACCTTATCCTCACTTTACCACCTTTCTGATCTGTTTCTTGGTCTTCATGCTGCTGATTAATCACAGATGATGAGATACTTTCTATTCACCAGGTACCGGATGTTTGAAGGCTTTTACTCAATATTTTATTAAAGAGAACTGAGTACAAATGCATGCCACACCTTTAAGATTTTATTTAAGGGAAAATACTTTCCTTTCCACTTCATAATTATGAATGTTTTGGGGGTCTATTATATGAAATCCCAATAAAGTACACTAAAGTTTATGCTTTTAATATGTCAAAATATATAAAAGTTGCAGATATAACACAAGATGCCAATATATCAAGATGATTCTGCAAAAGCAGGTCATTGTAGCCTTTTCCAACTCCACATGAAGTTCTGTAAAATATTATAAATGGAAAAAAATTGTTTGAAAGATACAAAATGATTCAAAATACAGGCAGAAAAATGCCTCTCTGTGTCAGAGATAAAAGTCCTGATGGAGTCTGCTAATATGTGCGATTATGTAAATCATCCTGCTTTTCACTCCGTCCATAATCTCTGTTGGTGACAGTGGCTTTTTTGGACTCTTTGCCACCCGGCAGACTGACAGGGACTTCATTGATTTATTTGTTTTATTAAACATTTTGCCTTCGCTAGCAAACAAAACGGGGTGTTGGGGTAAATTCTAAAGGGCAATTTTTATATGCAGTTTTAAGTCGACAAAGTTGGTTAAGATGTCAATATAATTGCACCTTGAACAAAAGGCGTGACAAAATACTCTGCATTTTGTTCCAGCTCCTCACAAGCTCTGGTTTATCCGAATGGAAGCAGAAAAAAAGCAAAACAAGGAAACTAAAGACTAATAAAATATTAGTCTTTAGTCTAACTGGCTTTCAAATAAAGTCATTCTTAGCTTTATTTGAAGATTATATTTATTTCCATCTAAGCTACACCCACAGTCATCTCTGTGTGTTTTCTTGTTCCATGTGTGTAGTTCCAAAAGAAGGCCTGAAGAGCCAGGCGGTTTTTGATGAGATCAGGATGACTTACATCAAGGAGCTGGGAAAAGCCATTGTGAAGCGAGAAGAGAACACGAGTCAGAACTGGCAGCGATTCTACCAGCTAACAAAGCTACTGGACTCCATGCAGGAGGTTTGTTACACAAACACTCACATCTGCTCAGCTAGTCGGGGCTTTTTCTTCTCTCGTAGATGTTCATTAGTCAGGCCGTCTGCTCTGGTAGCCGGTTTGAATGAAACATAGAAATCAATGTGGCACCATGTTACTTCTTCACCCAAATCTGACTGAATTTTGCTTTTACTCACTTTATCTTATATTAAAGTTAGTTTTAAGTCCTAAAACATGAGTGTCAGAAAATGTCAAACATTTAGAGAAAATTACTTTAAACTGAGTTTTGATTCATATTATTCACAGATTTGCTACTTCCTTTCATAAATGAGTGGTTTCACTAATTTTATCAATTAATTTTGGTTTAGTTTCTCTCTCTCTCTCTTTCTCTCTCTCTCTCTCTCTCTCTCTCTATATATATATATATATATATATATATATATATATATATATATATATATATATAAAGACAAAACTAACTTACAAATAACTTTTCAGCAATATATAAGAATTTTTCTCTTATAATATTTTTTCTGTTAAAAGTAAAAAATCTGCCATTGGGACTAGTTCTCTTCATTAATCTCCTAGTACACTAAGATATTTGCATTTGAAACTATAAAAAATACTTGGTAAGATTGTGTTTTGCAGTGTTCGTGTTTCCTTCAAAACTCTTCAAACTCTTTGTAGTTCCTCTGACATCCACATCTTCTTAGAAAATCACCCAGCTAACTGAAAACAGCTTCACAGAACGATTCTCATTAAAGACTGGGTGTGTGTGTGTCCCATTCCAGATGGTGGAGGGTCTCCTGCAGATCTGTTTCTACACCTTTGTGAATAAGACCCTCAGCGTGGAATTCCCAGAGATGCTGACGGAGATCATCACCAACCAGATACCAAAATTCAAAGACGGGAGCGTCAAACCTCTGCTGTTTCATCAGAAGTGACAGCCTTAAACTGTGAATCGATGCCTTAACTGCCACACTGCTTCTGGCTCTCTTGCACCAGTTCTGCTTTCCCCTATAAGTCTGGTTCAGATTTTTGTTTTGGTTTTGCTGCCCTGGTCTGTTCAGTCTGAACTCAGAAATTACCTATAGCCTCAAACCTGCTACCAGTGACTGTAGCTCAGTCTCTTGGCACACCAAGAACAATATGAATGTTTCTTTGGAACGTTTGTGTTTCTTCTCAATCCTCACCTCCAGACCTCTGACATTTAATGTTTTTAAAGATGTCCAACGGCCTCTTACTCTCTCCTGCCTGCATCACGAAAACCGTTTCCTCACGCCGATGCTCGCCAGCCCGATCTCCTCCTGCTTGGTGTCTTTCCGCTCGCCTACTCTGCTTTTCTGCGCTGTGAGTGTTGGTCACGGTATGGAGATGAAGGGGACACATTACGAAAGAATCTAACTTTTCTTCTGGACTCGAGGATAAAAAGAAAAGGATATGACCAATGGAAGAATAGAAAACCAGAGCAGCTTGAGGATTGTTCTTCATGTGTTTTTTATGCACGTCGCTGATCACGCATTCAGAGCTCACACAAGGCGTCACGGTCAGTTCAACCTGACACATGTTTACACAGGATGTATCTGAGGGAAAACTAGTGCCTTTTAGTTTGTATGCTCATTATAGCCATCGCTTACAGACACGTCTTGTTTTTCTACCTTCATGTTTTGCCTGGCTTTAGTTTGCTCAACCTGTCTCCTTCTGATTTCTCTGTGAATCGGACATTTCTGGTATTTTGAAAGTGGGACGTCCTCTCTGTCTCTGCTCTGTGCAGGAAACAAAGTCAGCCCAGTAACTTGAAATATTATTATTCTCATATCCAGGTCTTAAAAGGTTTAAAGAACTATGTTATGGTTAAATATACAATTTGTTTTGTATTTGAGTTGGAAGATTAGGTATTATCTCAACCCTACTTCTCTTTACATGTATTGCAGAAGCAGCCACTATCTTACAATTTTTATCTGAGTTGAGAGTGAATCCAAATTCCTATCAAATGGTGAATGTTTGCAAGCAGCTGCATTTTTTATTTTTTGGGTACATTTTAAAAATATGTATCAAATCGAGTGAGCTAATCCATGAAAATGTCCACCATTTGTGTGTGCTCGATATTATCCATGATACTTTAAGTCAACCTCGCTCAAAATGTCAGTCCTGTCCTTTTCACTGCCAGCTGCTCTCAATCTGATCTTGTTGCTTTTCAAATAGTTCCACATTTGTTAAACGTTGTTAATTTAAAGGTTGTGATAGCATCTTGAATTCACCAATCAAGCTTTTTCCAGGCTGTAGCAGCTTCCAGTTTTTTTTTTAGGTCTTACGGCCCCATTCCATTTTGGAGTAATTAATATTTGGGTGCTAAGGACGATAACACGTCAGGTGTTATGCTGCAGGTTCTTTGATGCAGCAGGTAGACTCGAATCCTATAAAACCTGTAAGGATCTACAATGTTCACCCCGTATTTACATCAAAGTATAATGGAACAGTTATCTGATTTTTATTAAGCACAAGGAAATGCATGAAGTACATGCAGTTTTTATATAGTAATACAATCTGAACTGTTTTTTTTTTTTGTTTTTGTTTTTTCCATAAATCTTTGATTGGTGGATCTATGATAGAAGTGCAACAGAAAATGTATTTGGACTACTTTTCCCGCCAAATTCTGATTTTATAAAATGCTATTGAAGAAAGGTGAAAAACAGTGAATAATGCGCCTAAGTATACACTTTAAACATAAAACCTGCCTTTAAATTCATTGTAGAATCCATCCATTTGAAACATAAGAAGCTGCAGTCTAGTCCATATAATTAGTTTATTCTTGCTCAGGCGATGTCTCATTACATCAGACATTTTTGTCCTTTTAGTGCCAAATATCATGAAAGGTTTTTATCAGTTTACTTTTAATATCCTGCAGATGTGAAGGGTCATGTGTACAGTGGTGGTTTGTAACGTTGCTTCAGGGTGCTCAACCTACAGTGTCACAGATAACACCAGCTAACTAGGATCAATTGTTTAAAAGATGATTATTTTTTTCCAGATGTTGCTACGGTCATTTATGTGTATAAAGCATTCGTACCAGCTTAGTGGCCAAATCTACTGTTCAGGTTTGCAGTGGCTTCTGCTGAGTCTAAACACATCGCTGTTCACCTTCCTGCTCTACTGTACTTGGTTTTTCTAACTGAGATGTTGGCTTTCAGGGTTCCTACAGAGTTTTGACAAGCATGAAAGAAGTATGCATAAAGAAATGTTTTCAGTTTTATTTCTGTCCCGTTTCTTAACGTTGCTGTTCCTTCTGTTCTTTTTCCTTGTGTCCTATCTCCCTTCCTTGTGTTCCTCCTCCTGTTGTTGGTTTTTGTATAGTTGAAATATCAGTCCTAAATTCATAAAGAACATTAATAATTAATAATTTAAAGTGAAAGAACTGGGAATGCTGCAAAACTGAGTCTGGGAAAGTGGAATTTATACATGAGCCTGTGTAGGAACACCATATGGATTTTCAACTCTTTTCTTAAATGCACAAAAAATTAGCAGTACTCTTCTATTAAGAGCCATATGTTTTGTTGTTTTCTTTGAAGCCAATCCTACTGGGTGACTGTTTAGTTCAGAGGCTTTTCGGCTGCAGCTCACCCAGTGTCTGCTTTTATCCCGGCGTGTTGGTCAATCTGAGGACTTTAACTGAATCCTCTTGTTTCAGGTGGCTTTACAGTTATTACGAATGTACAGTTTTACATTCATGTTCAGGTGGCGGCGCGTCTGGAGGCCAGCTTTAAAGTAACGCCCCCTCTTACCCCCCGTCCCCACGGCCTGTTTCTAGGATGAGATGTATATAAATAAAAGTGACATATCCAGTGTAATGCAAACAAGTGTCTGTTATTACAAAAAAATAATATTTTTACATGTCTGTCAGCACTCACGACTTTCTTATACCTTTCAGTTTGACTAAAAGCCTTGCAAAAGGGAGACAGAGAGCCATAGAAATACGATTTCAAATCAGGAAATAGACAAATATCAGTGCTTTTGGAGATTGATCTATTGTAAAAAAAAATATTTTGTGTGATTTTTAAATACATTATCCTGATCCTCTTTGATATGACTAATTTTAATTAATCATTTTTGTACATTAAATAAGTCAAAAAAGTAATTATTTTCCCCCTGTTTGTCGGTTTGTGTTTGATACAGGTAGATGTGATGAATACATTAGGAAATGTTTGTCTTGTGAAGTAAATGTCAATTCTACAAGTGTGTGCACAAGTCGACAAGAATGCTCACTGTGTTTTTTTTTTAAATAAAACTAAATAAGGAAGAGGAGAGCTAGAGGGCTGTTGGGGCAACCGACTAGAGGACGTTTATTTTTTAAATTTTTGTTTTGCGCTAAACAACAGTGACCAAAGCAGAGGAGTAACTGAAAACAAACTGAAGTAATTGAGCAGTTACAATTTGTGTAGCACCTATGAGCTTACTTCTTAGCACTTTGGGTTTTATTTCAAATGTGTCTTTTTTTGTAAAAGGTCTTGGCTTTGGATCTCCTGTATATTGCTGTAAGGATCTACTGGTCACTTAAAAGATAAAAAGAAAAGAAAAAAAAAACAAGAAAAAAACAATCTCTCCATGTGAAAATAAATTTTCCAGAGCCTGACAAAATTGCACTACCCTCACATGGGTTGTCACAGTCTAATTTGTATAAAATACATGCAATTATCTTTAAACATTAAGGGCAGATCATGTTTCACTGGTATACAGAGCTATGGCTTTCACTGAAGTCTGTTTTTGTTCATATGTCAGCTATGTAGATGTAATCTAATGTAAAGACAAATATAGATATAAAAAAGTTTAAAAATGGTTTATATTTACACTTCTGTATTCACTGTCAATATTTCCCCCTATTTGATTACATGTTGAATTAGGTTTTTGTGTTTTTTTTTTCTTTAGTTTTTTTCAACATTGGATTTGGCATTGTGTCAGATGATGTCTGTCATCTCTGGTTCAAGGCGGAAATGTGGAAGAACTGATTTTTCTCTAGTTCAAGCATCTTACACAATAAAGTCCCTGTTTTGCAACACTGCTGCCTAAACCTTTGTTCATTTCAGTCAGGTGTCTCCTCTGGTTTGATGGAAATGGCCATATTTACTCAAGTTCAATTTTATTATTTTCAATACGAGACAAAAAATATGAAGTGACGAGGTTAACATCATGAGGTTGAGTTTAAAAAAATGAGGTTAGAACATTGTTGGAAAAGCCTACCAATAAAAACTACAGTTTTTACAGTAGACTTTTTTTTTTTTACATAGTGCACTTTAATTCAGTCCTGAATAGAATCCAATACGGTCAGGTTAAGATAATTTTTCCAGATAATCAAACATGTATATCTGATGATATACATGCAAAGTTGCATAGAGTTAATTTTGGATCAATTCCTTTAATTTTTTTCACAAACAAGAAGGTGAAAATAGAGGAAAGAAAGCTAGGCTATTGCTTTGATCAAGGGTAACACTTTAAACTAGCATTATTGGGCCTATAAACAACTTAAAAAATGCTTAGCAGGCTTCATCAAATACAAAACAAACTGCCTAAAGTGTGTCTAATCTGATTTAATTTAATTTAATTCTATTGAAAGACAACTGAATTAAGTGGTGAACCACTCAGATGAAATCAGAGCTCCACCCAATCAGACGATCTGCACTGAGACGAATGTGTCGGATAGACTGAGAAGTCAGCGATGTCTCCCAACCAATCACAGAGCAGAATTTGAGCTAAATTTGAAAAAGTAAATGCTCAATGCCATTTCTGTTGAACCATCTTTGTTTCTTACAGCAATACACAATAATCTGTGGCGAAGCAACTCTGGTCTGTCAGCCACCTTCTCTGGCTGAGAAAACAACCAGTAACGGCACGGAGGAGTCTCCAGCAAGTATCGATCAGATGCATGTCTAGTTGCTGTGGTTACCAGTCAACGAACATGTAACAATACAGAGAACTATTTTTTTTCTTTATACATAGTTGCAGCACAACAGAGAAGGACTGAGAAATGGCAAAAAGTTTTAAGTCATTAAGAGAGTAAAGTAAATCATTTGGGATTTAATAATTGTGCAGCAAGTGTTAACATTTACCCCATGATGCCAGAGTTTCTGCTTAATCCACTTCAAATTAAATAGAAAAGACAAATTTCTAAATAATGAGTAGAGGTTCTCACACTTCTTTTTCTTAAGGGTCAGAAGAATGTGGGTTAGAAAACAGGAAACGGAGGTGAACCGATTCATCAGCCTATGATTGAAATTGGCCATTTCCGATT